TCGCATACATTTATGATGCTAGATATATCATGTCTATCTCTAGAACTCCCATATTTAGTGATATGAGAAGGCTGTAGGCCAAACTGTCGAGGTCATGGTTGGGAGTCTATGAGAGAAGACACTGTTGGCATACATAGGTGTGGGGCTAACAAACAGGTACTGTCAGTCACAACAGTGGACCCCCTGACATGTGGTCGAGGGGACAGCAGCCACCCAAGTGCACTCCGACCACCTGTCAACAACCGTCTGAGGCGTTTCATCACGCCTCCTTCGGAACACAAACACCCCGACACGCAAGCATTGCAAAACAATGGGGCCTCAAAACAAACCTAACTCTCAAAGAGTGTGAATGTATGCAAATATAAGCCACACGCAATCTTCATATTCTTACGCATCAACTACAGACACACACAAATGTTTTTTTGTGCCCTCAAAACGAATCGAGAAGCAAAAAAAAAAATTTGCTATTTGCGCCGTATGACTAGCGATTGGTAGTCAATATAAGGTGGGAGTACAGGTAACACATGGTGCGTCTGTGGGCTGGCTGCTATTTACGTAAGTACCTGGCCTTGAGTAGTGTTGACGGTGCGATCTGGACACTCCTGCCGTAGCGACACCGCAGCTTGTAGATTGAGGCTAGCTTCGATACCTGAGCAGACAGAATCAAATCCCATATTCATACTCCACACACAAACAGGCAGTAGTGAACACAAGACACTCGCTCGGCATAATTGTACACACGTGTAAAGACAACCACTGTGGGCATATCATTAGGGAGTAAAATCAACCCAAAATCTGACTGGGCAAAATTTTGCATGAAATCGCAAACAATGAGTGGTTTGTGGTCCCAACCTCTTGTCTTTCTTCCAGGCCCATTGGTGGTAATACCAGTCTGGTGGCCACGAGAGAAGTGGGGAGGATAGACGGATGGGAGTGAGGAAGAGAGAGGGTAGGAGTTGGGGTGAGAAAAGGACTGCATTATCTGACTCACTCTGTTCTGTTGCAGTCGCCGACAAAGTCGATCATGAGTTGGTTGACTCTCAACATGAACTCCAGGTCAGGGTAGCCGCCAGCCTGAAACACACACACACAAAATCAGACCAGGGCTGGATCACAAACTAGCAATGAGACAGAGATTAGGGAATTACTCTGTCTAATGAGGCACCCTAATTCATTGCCCAACATATTCTAGCCACAGGTGTATGCAGAGAGTGGGCTCGGCCTTGTTCAATGCCGCGTGAGACCAAGTATCTGACGCACACGTACCCTTGAAAGGGTCACAAAGCTGTCATAGTCGGTTGTCCGCACCGCCATGTCCCACCAGTTGCTCTCCTTCTTCTTCTGCATCACCAGCTGGGCTGCACACATACACAAATTACAGTACTAAACCCCCTCTCTTAACCCCCTATGTTGGAGGTCAGGGTACGGTAAACACATAGTCCACCTGTGCTGCTGTGTAAGGCAACAACAGATGGGTACATAGGTAGTGCATAATTTCCCTTTATGGTATAATGGCCTTAATCTAACAGGGGGAGGGGGGACAACTCTTTCCCTTTGCCTATTCACTTCTAACTAACTACTGTAACCCTCCCTGGCATGTGCACCCAGGGTTAATAAATCCCCCAGGGCAAGTCCTTTTACACCCCCAGACAACTTTCTCAGAACTCTGGACTGGTAGACTCTGATTGAGGAAGTTATGGACATTTTAAAGGGAAAGTCCTGGACAGCGTACAAAGTCACAGTTAATGTTACTACCATTTAGCTTCTTCCTGAGTCTTTTCATGTGTTTGCGGGTGACTTTGTTTTCCACGACTGTGTCACCCACCTTCCTCTCTGGCGACCGGTGAGCGGGAGGGGGAAGGAGAGAGAGAGAGATGAGAGAGGAAGAGAGACGACGTAGAACTCCAATCATCCCTCAGCACAGGTTAGGACAAGCAAAAGGCTCCAACTCACCCATTTTCTTGGACGACTCCATTTGGTAGCGAGTGAGAATCTCGATTCGGCTGGCCAGCATTCCGTTCTCTTTGGAAACAACACAATGGAACCATACACCACAAGGGTTAACTTACTCTACATTAACGTTTGGGTTGCTTTAGTACAACTGGCTTCCTTACTGAAATCTGTTTTTCAGCTATAATTATGTATCCATGAGTAATACGTAAGCATGTAAGCACTGGCACGGAATTCAATATTACTGTATCTGTTAATGGGCCCCCCCTACTGTTGTATATACTGTCTTCTCAAAGTACAGTTCACACGTATATATTACTGTATCTGTTAATGGCCCCCCCCTACTGTTGTATATACTGTCTTCTCAAAGTACAGTTCACACGTATATATTACTGTATCTGTTAATGGGCCCCCCCTACTGTTGTATATACTGTCTTCTCAAAGTACAGTTCACACGTAATTTTTGCTAAGAAGTTTATATTAGCACAGAAGAGAGTATGACGCTGCAAAGGATTCAAAGCATTGACGTCCAGCGTATTAGACACTGCATCGCATCATTGTTTGAGGATACCTACAAATAAACAAACACACGTGGTGCGTGTTAGTCATCTTTTGCTCACACTACTCTCTTCTGGCAAGGAAACTGTGTGCGTAATGTGCAGTTTTGGACAACTTTAGGACACAGGCAAACATGGAAAAGTATGTCCAGAAACTTGATTGCAATATCCCTGCTCAAATATTGACAACACCCAAACCACACCCTCAACCACGAGTTAGTTATTTTGAGGAAATTTACAAGTGACAGGTTTCAAAAACATCGGGATCGGGAAGCTAGCCAACCCACCAATGAAAGCACACTTGAGCAGTTGTTTCAGCTCTTCGCAGACTGTGATGAGACCTACAACCTGGGCCTCTGGGGACCCCTTGGACACCGACAGCTGCATCACAGACTCCAGCCGACTGTCCAGAGAGGCAAAGGCCTCCGGTAGCGCCAGGCCCGGGAGAGATGCGTCTGCCAGTCCATGTGTGTAGTACATGTGTGTAGTACAATAGGTAACGTTTTGATGCGCATTATTTGGAAACTTCACCCTCTCACATACCTCCTTTTAGCTTTAGCGTGTGGGACATAGCTGTAGCTCCAGCTTATGTGCGTAACTTTAGAGTAGACAATCACTCCTCCCTGGACAGTGACGACGATTGTTCTCACAGCTAGGCAACCATCATCATCCGTCCGTCGTCGTCTCGCGTAGTCCTGCGCGCTAGCGCACGTACGCACGCACCGTACGCGCGCACGCGCACGCAGTCGCGCAGTGAAAATAGCGTTTGGATAGGTAATTATCTGCATATACATGATTCAATGCTAATATCATCTATGCTAATGAGTTCAATAGTAGTCCCATTGAAAATCAGGAAGGGTATCGAAGCAAACTTGTCAGGGACGCAGCATGGACTGGGCGAGCCAGTGGGATTATCCTGCTGTGCAGAGTACACCAGACTCAAGAGAGTGTGGTAAGTGGCAGTGGGCCAGTTCAGTGAGCAGAACCCCGAACAGAAATTGATGGGGAGGGTCCGTGGGCGAAGAACCCAGTACCAGTTGAGGTCGTGGTGGATGTCCAGGACCAGGTCTCGCTTGCAGCAATTCAGCGTAGCTGCAGCCGTGCAGCTAGGGTCAACTCTCCCTCCCACCTGCCGCCTTCTCCTCTTGTCGTCCCTGGAGTTAACCCCCAGAACCAGCTGAGTCGTCTTAGAGTAATGTCCCTTGATATCAGTGTAGGCTATCTCAACTGCAGGAGGATGAATATCATCAATCTTTTCCACCTGGACCTCCAGGTATAGTCTTCCGGTTGTGACGTCCCCTGCAATTAACTGCTCAACAACTCTTGAAATGTTGAAGCTAACATAGCCGTCTTTCTCTAACGAGACTACAGCTCTGGCACAGAAGATAGCAGGAATATACCCATCGTACTGAGGATTGTCCTCGAAAATGTTTGAGACTATTATCCACTGCTTGTCCTGCGGCCGGACGTTTTCCTTGTTGAGAATGTGGTACCATAGCCTCAGCTCCACCGACGAAATGGCATAGTCACTCAAATTGAAGTCAAACCTCAGCAAGTGAATAGAAGACTGAAGGGCTTGGGATGAACTCAATGGAAAATCACCTGCAAAAAATGTGACCTTAGCTAGTATTATTTCTCACAGATGGTAGTCCACTCTCTGTAAAATTTACGAGGGTGCTCACCGTCTGTTCCGTGGTGTCCGTCTCGTCGGAGGACTTCTTTCGGATGCAGAAGGACCAATTGTAGCGGGACATCGGGCTGCTCCGCGCAGCTTGCCCGCTGCTCGCTCACCAGCTTCTGCGCAACGCTCACGGCGCGGTATTCCTCCTCCAAGGCCAGCGGGACGTCGATTGGGATGCGCGGGTTTTCTGGCTCTTGGGTCATCTGCAGTTTGAAGAGGATGGCCCGCTTTATTACGTTTACGTGAGCCATTCGCACAGTACTGTCGTCGTCCAGCACCAAGTTCACGCAGGACTGAGCCCTGAGCTGCGCGGCAATCAGAGCCGACAAAAACGCAGTCGTCACCAGAGCGAATCTCGAGTGCGGAGTAGGCATGATGGGACAGTTCTGCACTTCAACGCTGCGAAGTCAGTGTTATAACTGTGCCCCAGCCCCCACACACCCCCACCCGAAATTATGGAGCACTTCAGAAGTACTTATCCACTTAGCGGCGTGGGCTTGCGCAAATTTGATATACGAGTTCTGTTGATGCAATTAGCAATGAGGCATACACAAGTCGGTAAATACGTGGTCCAGACTGAAAAATAATTGGGAAACAAAAACAACCCACCCATCCTTGAGAGCCAGGTTTTCAGTTGAAACTGAGTGGCATTTATACAGCGTAATGTGTCATCACCTTCAAACCTGAAAATATAACATCCTATATGGGAGTTGATTTACTCACAGACCAATCTGTATATTGCCTTAGTAAAACATGAAAATATAAAATCCTAGACTGGAGTTAATAACTGACAGGCTATAAGTTAGCAGTGTGGGCAGTACTTCGGTCCAGACAGTTCATTACATCCCATATGTCACACTCCCACAGGCTGTACAGAGTCAGGGCCCCATGGGACAGCCACGGACATCCTCCGCACCTATACTATGTGGGTGGGTGTTAGCTATCCTACTGGCGTCTGCTGACAACAGAGTTCCTGTACAAAGTTTACCCCAGATGGCTACATTGCACAACATCTACAGGCTGGAAAATGAAATATGATATAAAACTTTATGGAAAATGATATCCAGATGAGTGATCAGGAAGGAGAAAAGTGATAAAGTAATAATATTATTTATATGTGCTATGATATATTCATACTGGGTGAGAATGAATTCAGTCTACACAGCCGCAAGAAGTGATCTCCATATTAGGAACTTGTGCCATGACAGTGGTTCCGTCCCTGGGGTCCAGGATCACCATGAGCAGAGAGTCCATGGTGTATATGGTGCAGCAGGGACCGCCTCCCATCTCGTTGGTCTGGTAGAACTGCTGTATGCTAAGTCTGAGATAGTTATCCCCTGTGAATGGGACGGGACAGAGTCCCTGGCAGTAGTTGGGAGTGAAGGTGGGTGGATGAAGGATCCAGGGGAGGTGGAGGTCCGTGTGGAAGTCAACCTCGAGATTTCGAATGCAGCAGTGGACGGTGTTTGGGTTGTTTCTGCAGTAACCACTGTCAATGGCCTGTCTTCGTTTTCTCCTCCTTCGCCGGAGTTGCGTGGCCACCTCTTCAGTGATTGTAGCCACAACCAGTTGTGGCCTCGTGTCCACAAGGTCGTCCACAGTAGTGGTGCCTTTGTCCCGAACAAACTCAATAGACGGAGGCGAGAGAGAGCCGGTTTTAATCGAGAAAGGGCAGTTCACAATGACTTCGAGTTCAAGACTGCCATTCAACCGGTTCTCAACCCACTTGCTTACAGCTTCCGTCACGTCAAGCGAGTCATACTCATCTTTGACGAGTTCTAGATTCTTGGAAGTCACAAAGAGTCTCTCTTGTTCTTCGCCGTCCCTTCTCCTCACATAAAACACCTCCACATTCTCAAAGACGTCCTTGCAACTGGACACTACTCTCTTGAACAGCCTCAGCTCAGCCGAATAGACTGGCAGTGAAGGCAGTGCTGGTGTAAATATGAAAGTGTACCGAATCGGAAGAGTGGAATTGTTGAAAGCTGCAGGTGTATAGTTGATGCAATCATGTGTCATCGTACTGTAAAATCACCGTGTGTGGAGTAAAGTAAATCCATTATCGAATGGGTAGAGCGTTGTATATTATAATATTATATGTACGTATACACTGGCTACTGAAGGAAGTTAAAAGTATACAATCCAGAGGTGGTAGACAAATGCTTATGGGTCTAAATGGCTTCTGATGTTTGAAGATACACATCAGCTATAGAACAGTATGGAAACAGACTTGTGAAATCCTACGATATGAGCAATGGTTGCAGCTGACGTCATGTGTGCCACAATGGTTGTTATGGTTAAGTAACTATGTCTCTTATAGCCCATATGCACTTTTTTTTTTGTATTAGCTACTACAGTGATCATTTGCATCCAGAAATGATTTTTTTTACTATTGTACTAAAACGATGCAACTGTAGCTTACAGTGATTGTTTTCCTCGTCTGTTTGGTGCCTCTCCAACGGTGCGTAGATAACGCTATCGTTCACGGGGAAGAACAGTGAAATCCGCTTGGCGAACGCTGGCGTACCCCGCCCCCTATCGGGCTGGATGCAACTCGTGGGCTCGTCTTCCCCGTCCAGGACCTGCGACAGTGCCTCGTAGGCCGACAATAGAGCTGGATCTACGCTCCTGGAGCCGTTCCACGCGCTCTCCTCGCCGCCTGACCACCAGTGAGAAGTATCGAATGGCAGGAACGGGCTCAGCTTCGTGAGTATGTTGTCGCGGATGGCAGATAAACGTCGGTCGTCGGTCCGGGCGCTGCAGAGACCGGGCACTGAATTTGCGCTATTGGATACCTGAGGCCGCACTTGCGTCGGTAACACGACGATGGCTGCAATGGTAACGACCCATAGCCCGCGACTGTAACTACGAGCAAGCATTGCTACTGACGCAGCGCAAAGGATTAGCTGGCGGCATCTGCAAACTCGGGCTTTTGTACGTAGAAACAAGAGTACGCCACGCCCGCTTGCTCAGCGCGCGGCGCGACAATTCAAATACCAACGACAAACCATGACAAAAATCACCTGGACTGAGAAGAAGCGTGCATAAAATTTTCAAAGACAAGTAATCAGTTACGGTTCTACATTACCGTCCAATCTAGCAGGGCTTAACCGTGATGGCGAGGATGATAACGACATTGGCTGACCTTCACTAGAAACCCGTGCGATATGCTCGCTGGTCTTCACCCGAGAGCTCTCCAGGAGGAGTCTGCTTGACTCACTCCCCGTCAGGTTCCTCCCGCTGGATCCGTCGCGACTCTGCAGCAACATGTACGAGAATGCCTCCGAGAACGAGGTGCTGTCCATGTTGGTGGAGCCCCCAGCACTGACGGGTCGAAATGCCCTCGAGATTCCAAAGCCGGTCCCCGGGGGACTCGGTAGACTGGCGCGACTCGGACCGCTCCTGGCAGGAACAGTCCCGGATATGTAGTCTATTTCATTGGAGCGAGTTCTCTGGTGTGCCAGACCGGCAGCACCAGACGTGGGCTTTACTTTCTCCAGACGATGCTGTCTTGGCTGGCTCTGGCAACCGGGATCATCTGTGTTGCCTGCCTCCACACCCGAATTAGACAGCCGGTCATCGCTCGCGGATCTTTGATTCTCAGCACTTTCCGCAATAGTATATTCGGCTATTGGCTGTGGTTGTCGAAGAACGCCATCATCCTCGCCCCCAGCCCTATCGCCGTTCTCAGATCTGTCTTCGTGTAAATTCAGAACCGGTGGTGTGGCGACTTGCACTGCAGCTGTGCTCAGAGAGAGGTTGGAGCCAGTGGCACTGTTGCGTCGAATTGGCTGAAACAGGTTGTTGGGTGGCAGGGGGCCGAGATTACGGAGTAAGGCGGTTGGGGTACTGGCGGCCTGGGTGGGGGGTTTCAGGCCGGGGTACATGATGCTCATGAGGGAAGGGGAGGGAGAGGGAGCTCGCGAGGAAACTACACTCGACACTCTCGAGGCACTAATGTCGCATTTCTGCAACTGTTCCAACAGTTCCTCTTGCGTCGGACCACCAGAATTTAGATCTGAGGTGTTGTGCATCAATTTACCGTTAGCATTGTGCATGAATAATACACACACACACACCGGTTTTTTCAAGGCCAGTTGATATTCCTAATTCTTATCTGTACCAATTACCCTTTGAGATACCACAAAAAGGCTAACACGCTGGGGCTCACTCCCCACCGCAATACATTACATATACCTTGATTGTGTTTGGACAGCTCGAGTGCTGTAGTGAGATCCCACACCTGAGAGAATTTTCCGGATCACAGCGCGCAGTATATAGTCTCAAAGAGAGCTGACAAACCTGTATTGCCCCGTTGGTGTGGCCCGTGAACACGAACCGGCGAGACCTCATGCCAATCCTGTTGGCCGCCTCGCACTCATGGACACAGTAGGTGGTAATGTTGCTAGCGTCCACCGACTTTATCACACACACTCTGCGTGTGTGTGTGTGTGTGTGTGTGTGGATAAGAGGACACTCATTTGCGAAATTTACAAAGCTAACAGAGCCCCGCGCCAAAACAATACGTGCTAAATTGCTCCCATTTGGCATGGAAACGAGGCTCCAGCGAGTCTAGATGCAGAAAAACAGGCGAATCGACTGCTGAAAATGGCCAGAGACGCGACTGCCAGGCCAAGTCAAAGGAATCAAGTCTGCAAACGCTAACAAAGCATTAATTGTGCTAATGATCGCTATTACAGGTATAATTATTCAGAGTGCACTAATAGAGATCGTTCGTTACCTTTTTCCGTCTGAGCTGAGGCGAACAAATATGGTATCAGTCTCAGGGATGATGCGCTGCACAAACACTTGCTCCTCGTCTAAATCCCCAAACGGTCCTGAGAAGCGGCAGAAAATGAATAGACTACCGTCAATACTGCAAGTACTGTATAATACGTACCAGTTGCAAATGGCGACTACGGTGAGTCGTATAATACATATTGCGTGGGGAAAACTAGACTAGTTGTTGTCTGAAGGTATATATATAGGATATGGCTCTGGGGTGTAGGATATACTAGAAGGTAGTTATGACTCTGCCATTATTATCGCAGTAAAAAGGCCAGCTATCAATAGAGGCCAGTGTGGTGTGGTATGGAGGGATGGGAGGAGGGATGCTTCTTCGTGAACACACACCAGTGGGAACCAGAGAGAACACCGAGACAGTATCAGCTGTGGAGACAGTGGTGTCTGAATGCAAGCTCTAAGGGAAGCCAGCACAGAGCCCTGTCTGCCTTTCTATTATCACATTACTGCACGGCCAAGCCCTCATTGACCGGCCCACCAAACGAACTAGAAGTCTTGGAAAATTACTCTAGAGCCAGATGCCCTGACTTTCCAGAGAACACGGAAATGAACCAAAACCAGATAAGGCCTGGCAGGCAGTGACATGTATGTTGACGAACTAGTCCATGCTAACTGTTGACAACATCAGTTATTATAATACAATTCACACGAATAGGCACTAAGGCTCACCAACTATTGTACAGATGTAATCAGCTAATGAAACATACCAATAGAGTTGATGGGGTAGAAGAGGGAATGCGGCCCGTCCAGCGAGAGAACCTTGAACGATGAGATGGGAACGGAGCCAGGTTGAGTGGAAATTCTCCCCCGGAACCTCGTAACAGTCCACGACCGTACGTGATTCTCTGCACACACTGAAACATACGTAGAGGAGGGAGTGAGTGAGGGAGAGAGGGAGAGAGGAACGGAGGGAATTAGGTATGCTCAACGCGAGGAAATAATTTTTCTTGCCATTGACATGACCGGCCTGTCATGGCAGAAAAAGCTTGCTTGGCAAATGAGAGAGAAATTATGTAACAGATGATAAGAAACGAAATTGAAAATAATATATAACTATAGAGGAGTCTCGACCGCAGACGACACACGGTTTTGTTCCTTTTGACAGTCACAATAAAACAAAGCCAGAGGGCTGTGTCTATTGCGAACAGGGCAGTGTGAAAAGAAACATATGTGCCGTTTGGGGAGTACTAACCACAATGAAATATAGAGTCCGTCCATTATCACATCGGCATAGTAATAAACATCCTGGGGGTCCAGACGAACGGAATGGCATGGCAAACCGCCACATGTATTATTCCCCTGCCCACAGGGAACCGACCAATACAGGTGGAAAATATTATACATTGCTAGGCACACACGGCTGGCCACACAGCGAAGTAAACTATAAGATTGTTCATTGAGAGAATTGGTAAAAGGCTTGCACCGATGAAATTCTCCACCATATTATATACATTCTAAAATAGTTGACAGAATGCATCTTTTTAAACCGTACCATCGGCATACATGCCAGGGCTAATTGCATGCAAGGACCTTAGCACCAGACGAAATTTGGGTAACAATACAAACGTTGGACCATCACTGACCAACAACGCCAAAGATAAGAGGAGCGGGCGACCTTTGACACCCCACCTCCAGACACAGCAACAGCACGGCAAGGACAGCTTTAGCCAATACTTTCCCCTCTGAGAACAACATCATGGTGGATATGAAAGCCACACGGACCTACGAAACACGGTTCTATATAGTCCGTGTGGGGGTTCCAGTTACTTTGTTTGAGATGATGAAACGGTCATTGTTTCTGTGTACAATGTTTGGTCACGTTCACATATATACAACAGGCTGCGTTATCGTCTTTGAATTTAGATGCTTTGATGCATACATACATAGAACAACCCTGCAAATACATAAGGAATACCAACTCATATCAAAGCTCAGTGAACTAATTACCACACCCACTGGCCCAGATTAGGACACATTGTTCTTCTCCTACCATCCCACCATCCACACCCTGTGTACATACCACCTCCTACTACCCTCCCTTTGTCCACACCCTACAACCTCCTCCCCTAGGACACTTTTCCCCACACCATCTGTCACGCTACATTCTTTGACACATCCTCGCCAGCCACCCAGACAGTGCTAACAGTGTCAAAGCCTTCGCTATGGATATGCTTTCCCTGTCGGCTGCCCGATGGAGTCAGTCAGTCCCTCGAGACACCTACACTTACTCACACTAATGAGGAATAAAGGGAAGAGTTGCTAGGACAACCTGGAGCTTCTAAGACACTATTTCCTATGTTCTGAGAGTGTGTTGCTGACTTGTATACAGGGTCAAAAGTCCAGTTCCGAAAACAACCAGCAAATGTGACTCTACTTCGTTACATGTCTTCTAAGGCTCTTTACTGCTGAACTGAGCCATACTGTGGGGGTCTTGCGCATGGAGAGACACCACGCCCAAACAGTGGAACTGAAACTAGTCAGCGCGCCAGTACTTCAGGCAGATTGCCGGTGCCCTGCCTTGCTTGCAAAGGAAACGTTAATTAATATCTAACACTGTTCTTGCAAGGCCAGTTGCTCGGCACCATAGAACTAAGCACGGAAAACTTGGCATGGAAAACAGGCTCGATATTTGCAAAGAGAAGGCAAGCACTTTCCATGGCTTTCAAGAAGACAGCTCCCTGCACCCAAAACAACGCCACGTGCCACAATAGATGAGTTCACAATGTCTCCTTTTAGTTGTGGTCTGAGTTCAGAAAGTCACCTGCCAAGATTTTCCTCTGTGACTTACACACCTTGAAGTGTATACGTACACCACCAAAGGAGAAGACAGGTCAAAGGTAAAGAGACGAAAAGGTGGAAGAAGTTGCCAAATGAATTTTAAACACAAGTGTACAGAAGGCTCTCTATGAAGCAAGAACACTTAGTCTTTGTAATTACAGTGGTTATACCACTGAAGGCAATCTGTTAAGTCACAACGCAAAGCTACTTAACACACACATACACACACAAGAGCTTGACTATATCAATCGCAACGAATACTGAGGTACGTTTTCCCAGTCAGTGAGAGAGACCGACCTGAAATGAGGTGTTTCTCCCCGAGGACCACTCTCAGAATGGGGCAGGTGTGGACGTGGTAGCTCTGGAAGACCTGGGGGGCGTGGCCAATGTTCTCCGGGTGTCGGACGACCACCACCACTCTCCCCGACTGTGTCCCGTACGCCACCTCCATCCAGTTCTCGTCTGAGCTGGAAACTGGTGGGAGGAGAGAGAGAGAGAGAGTGTGTTTCATCTTTATTAAGGACAACAGTGCATCTACTCTTGTACATTCGTTTGCTTTGCCTCTGCTTTTGTACTGTACATCGTCGTTCACACATGCATCCAAGTCTTACTTCTTCTCCAAGAGAGGGAGAAGAAAAGTATAGTGTTGAAAAGAAGCGGTGTGTGTGTGTGTGTGCACAAGAAATACTTCACATACAGTGGTTTGGTTGGTAGAAGATGCTGAGGGCCGTGATGGGGTCTTTGTTTGGGTCTTCAAACATCTCCGTAACCAGGAGGTCGTTGTCCTTCATCCTTACCGGAAACTTCTCCATATCTGCACGGACACAAGTGTACATCACGTCTTAAATAACCACTTGCTGCTGTTTAGCTGGAGACTATTGGAGAGAAAATGGCGCTGTATAAATAGCTGGAGAACTTTGTACTTTCAAGTTTGAGATCATTAAACTAACGGGCAGAAACCATTTGCAAAGGCAATGGTGAACAATAATTTTATTACCAAGTAACAAAGTAAATTTGTGGGTGGACCATTATAAGCAATGGTGCACAATTTTATACTCGCTACCAAATTGCAGTGACTGTGTGGTATTCGAGTATTTTTTAATCTAATACCCTACAACGTTGAGGGGTCACCTATGTAGTAGATGCAGCCATTCGAACAGCCGAGGAGGAGGAAGGAGGCCCCAGTGTCGTAGCTGCAGATAGGTGCAACCTCTTGTTGCTGTGTTGAAAAATCACACAGACGAATTCTCACAGGGTGCAAGGGGGAACAATTAAGAAAACGCTCGAAACTCTTAAAATTAATTTGCGATTATTTGTTCGAATGGAATTCACTCAATACCCATAAATGCTCTGCAGTTAAACTGACAGACACACAGATACATAGGAGAAATGGAGGCAGAGACAGGCAGAGAGGCAGAGACAGACAGAGAGGCAGAGACAGACAGAGAGCAGAGACAGACAGAGATGCAGAGACAGACAGAGATGCAGAGACAGACAGAGATGCAGAGACAGACAGAGATGCAGAGACAGACAGAGATGCAGAGACAGACAGAGAGGCAGAGACAGACAGAGATGCAGAGACAGACAGAGAGCAGAGACAGACAGAGAGCAGACAGACAGAGAGGCAGAGACAGGCAGAGAGGCAGAGACAGACAGAGAGGCAGAGACAGACAGAGATGCAGAGACAGACAGAGATGCAGAGACAGACAGAGATGCAGAGACAGACAGAGATGCAGAGACAGACAGAGATGCAGAGACAGACAGAGATGCAGAGACAGACAGAGATGCAGAGACAGACAGAGAGGCAGAGACAGACAGAGAGGCAGAGACAGACAGAGAGGCAGAGACAGACAGAGAGGCAGAGACAGACAGAGAGGCAGAGACAGACAGAGAGGCAGAGACAGACAGAGATGCAGAGACAGACAGAGATGCAGAGACAGACAGAGAGGCAGAGACAGACAGAGATGCAGAGACAGACAGAGAGGCAGAGACAGACAGAGATGCAGAGACAGACAGAGATGCAGAGACAGACAGAGAGGCAGAGACAGACAGAGATGCAGAGACAGACAGAGATGCAGAGACAGACAGAGATGCAGAGACAGACAGAGAGGCAGAGACAGACAGAGATGCAGAGACAGACAGAGAGGCAGAGACAGACAGAGAGGCAGAGACAGACAGAGATGCAGAGACAGACAGGAGATGCAGAGACAGACAGAGATGCAGAGACAGACAGAGATGCAGAGACAGACAGAGATGCAGAGACCTGCCAGTGTTGCTGGACGCTCTGCCATATGGCGACTCTGCCAGTGTTGCTGATGGTGACCAGCTGTATTCCAGTGAAGAACAGGCCGTCCACCGGGATCTTCATATCAAATGACGCTGCACAAAGACAGAGGAGTGGAAGAGGGTAAAGTTTTAATACACAGATACAGCTCTAACAATAGACACAGTCTGGGAAATGTTGGTGAAAAGGTTTGTTTTCATGAAAGAGACACGAACGAAATACGTTTCATCAGAAAATTCTGTTAGTGAGTATAATATACATACCCAGAGCTCTTGGTTGTGGAAGGCAGCTCCAGACCTTCACCTCAAACCCTGGCCAGAGAAGGAGAGATCACAAACACACATGCAATCATCCTCTCCCCCCTCACTCTGATCTTTCGTATATTCTCCACCTATATATGTATATACCTCACACTAAACTTTCGCCTTCCCTCTTCTCTCGCTCCAAACTTCCACCTTTCTCCTATACCATCACCCCCTGCCTTCTGTTTTACTCCTACAGTCGCACCAAACATTCTATATATCTTGCTCCAAACTCTCTCCTTTTCCCCTCACTCCACCTTTCGTTGTACTCAGCTCTCACCGAGTGCAGCAGCCAGGAGAGGTCCTCTGGGAACCCCGTGGCCCATGACGCGGAGAGCTATTCTCTGTGGAGGTTTGTCCAGTAGTGGACTGGTGAACACCACTTCCCATCCTCGAGACTCTTTCACACTAGGGGGGAGGGGGGAGGGGGGAGGAGGGGAGGGGGGAATCTTATAGTCCCTAATTTGTGAGGCACATCATAGTCCACAGCCTACGCTCTACTAAGATAGCTACAGACATCAGTACGTTTCAGTATGAATTGCAGAAAATCGATGGGAAAACGAGAGCAAGAACACGAGAGAGGGATAAAATGAGGAGTTCTTTAACCAAACATTGCATCCATAAAACACACACTCCCACACTGTGTCATACCCTAGAACACATATGCAGTGGTTGTAGGCCACCGCTAGATAGTTCCCATGGCCAGTCAGCTGGATGACTTGCTTGGAGAAATCTACAGAGACCATTTTCACAAACTTGTATATACACGGCAGGAGTGGGAGAGATTACAAGACGTACCGACTTTGGATCCCAGTTTCGGGAGTGGAAGGCTGTCAGACAGAGGAGTGGATTGCTCAAAAACTGCAGCAAACGTGGAGGAAACCAGGTGGAGTAACAAGTCATTGTAGACAGAGAGAGAGTGCGGAGAGAGTATATACAAGTCATAGCAGAAGAGAGAGAAAAGTAAGAGTTTGAAGCAGACAAGTAAGAAGAGAGACGAGGAAGGAGTAAATAAGAAGTCACAGCAGGAGAGAGACGACTAAGAAAAATGACGGAGAGGTGTGTACGGTATGCAATAACCTGGAGGGTGGAGCATGCTGTAGAAGAGGATATTTCCACAGTTCCCTGTCTCGGCTTCCTCACATACTCCCAACCGTTTCGCTGCACACACAATCAACATGCCCATACACACACACACACACAACACACACACACTCACACACTGTTGTCATACACTAAACCAGGAAACTGATGCACTGTATTGGGCGCTATGTTTCCAAAACAAGGTGCCCCATGGCGAGAGAGAGAAGGAGAACGCGTCTCCGACTCACCTAGAGGTAGCACGCCGTAGAACTCTGCCTCGTGTCTGAGTGTCTTGAGGTCTATGTGTCTGCAGTTGACCGTCTTGGTCCGCAGGTAGTGCAGTATGGGCACAAACACCTCCGGATCTCGATCAATAAAGATCTATGTGTACGTGCATGCATACGTTGTATGTGCCAGGGTCAAACACATAAGGCTAGGATATGATGGTGAGTGGCGCTGCCACTAGTGAGCTATATATACACTAAGTATAGGTACATATAGGTGTATACAGCTTCAACAAACTACCACTTACCGCTCCTGTCTCGTCTCTTAGAGACGGTATTCGTCCACTCATCAAACTGGGCAACAGAACAAATGGACAGCTACATTAGTATGGAGTAATACAAACTATGTACTGTGGTTTGTGTGTTCTGTGCACAAATTGAGGCAGTTTGCGTGGGTGTCTGAAGGTACAACAGTGGCGTAAACACTGCACATGCTCTCTACCTCACTGACCTGGAGAAGAAAGAGTCAGGCACCCATGAAAGGGTCTGTCTGGATGTAGAAAACCTGGACAAACGCAGGTATACATTCAACTACTTGTTGTGACTATGATAATGATAATGATTAATGATCGAATGCTCCTTCTTCTACACAGCTAGAGAATATGCTACAAGGCCGCACAGTACTCTACACGCACAAACTGTGTTATTGCAGCGGGGAAAGGTGCCCAACACGTACACACAGATGGAGACGAGCTACAAGCTAGCTGTGGTACAAGACCCCACCTCTTCCCGCCAACATTCAGCGTCACGATGTCGCCAAAGGCGTAATCTTTGGCCACAGGGACGTCGCCTGCGTCCATCTTGGACAGTTCAGCCTCTCCCTTGCCGCCTGTCTCAGCTCCGCTGGCCGTGGAATCCGCCATCTCGCTTCACCCTGGCGGTGCCTTGTTTATTGCCTTGTGTGCTACTATTTTTAGAACACGCCGTAGCACCCGCCCACCTACAATGTAATTATCGTGTTGCTATTTTTAGGTAGAGTAGCTAAAAATAGATAAGAGTACGTTCCGATTCTCCACACTGTATTATATACCACCAAAAAAAACCACAAGATCAACACACAACTCATTGACACATAATAAATGCTATACAGTTGTTTGTTTTAGCGGTGAATTTGGTCCACCTCCTGGTCTTGGGCTATTGAGCTGCAATGTATATACAGAGAGAAAGGTTAAAGGTGTATATAGCACACACAAAACAATGTAGTCTCAATTGTAAGCCTACTTGAAAGGTATATTTGTGTGAGTTCTTTCCAATGGAAAATAAACCCAGTGATCATTACCCACCCCTGGATGAGTCTCTGTCGGTTGATCAGTTGACGACAAGGAATCGGGAGGCTGTTGTGACGGCACGGCTGCCTCACCTCCCTTGCCCCCTCCTCCTTCTCCTTCTCCTTCTCCCTCTTCAGCCTCTACCCCCGGTCTCACCCACAGACTGACGTAACCGTCGTAGCTCGCCACAACGATGCAGTCGTCTCTGAACACCAGGTCGGACAGTCTCTCTCTGTCTACCCGTTCTGCAACCAGCGGCTCAATCACGTTCACCTCTTCCATCTTGGGTGCTATGTCGTCGCTGTTGCACGTCTCAAACGCGCTCACTTCCCTCCGTCCGTTGTGATGGCTCTGCCCACCAATCCCGACAAATTTCATGACTCGTTTCATGGGATCCCTCAGGCTCTTCTGTTGCCCTCGGATGTGGACTTTCTTCCCCTCCTTCCCTCCCTTGGTCTTGTTCTTTTTCCCGCTCTTTGAGTTACTCTGACGCGTCTTGTCGTCCGTGGAAGTGTCCTGATCACTTGTACCAGAACCGGCAGGGCTGCCGGTATCCTTCTCCTCCGACTCTCTTCCCTGTGAGCTAGACTTTCGTTTCTGTTCGTTTTCACTGCCCGATGTTTGAGGTTGTTCGCTTTGCATAGTCGCGGTTTGTGCATTTTTCTGAGAAGGTTCTTCAGTTGTTGCTTGTGTGTGATCTGTCGAAGGTTGGTCAGTAGATACTCCCTCTTGTGGCAAAGAATCGGTCGGCGTTTTCTGCGCAGTGTCCTGAACCAGTGCATTTGATCGCGGTCTTGAAGAAACGTTCTCCTCGTCATAACTTGTGCTTGTGTCCTGCCCACTCTCTCTCTGTTTGAAAGACAGTGACTCTGCCGAGTGCAGTTGCTGCTGTTGACTGGACATCATTTTACTCATTCGCGACCGACTCCTTGCAAACGGCCGACGTATTTTGAGTGCGTCCTCCGACAGATCCCAGAGGCAGAGATGTGAGTCTTGCCCCACGGAGCCCAACCTGTACGCTAGCACCTCTTTCCCCCTGCCAGCTTCGGACGCGAGACGCCCGAGAAACGGACTGCTCGCTATACTCGACGTGTCAATCGCACCACTGAGTCTGAAACTTCCTCTAATTGACGGGGGCTGACTCACTCCCGTACCTTCACTGTCTCCACCCAGTGACATTGCTTGATTCGATATGGCATCGGGGAGAACCGTTGTGTAGGGGTCGAATGCAACAGCAGAGATGTACGACTGGTGACCCATCCCACGTGCAACGACTCGCCGATGGTGGAACGACCAGACAGTGATGAGGTCGTCCTCGCCACCAGTCACCACGTAGCAGCTGTCGGGGCTCCAACAGACACAGGTAATCCCGCCGAAATAGCTGCGCATTCGGCTGTGGAACTCCTGTCGCTGGAAGTGGTAGATCCTCATAAAGCCGTCCTGGCTGGCCACGGCTATGTGGTCCAAGTCGGGGGAGAAGGCAAAACGGTTGATGGCCCCGTGGCCGATGGACCAGCGGTAGTGGAGAGAGGACTTGTGTCTGGTCTTGACGGTGGAGATAGTGGCGTCTTGGAGCTCGGCGTGGGGTAGGAACTGAACGGGGCCGGTGGTGGATTTCCCCGCGAACACGGTGCTCCAGACGTAGAGGTTTCCGCTGCGATGGGAGGACACAAACAGAGTCTCGGAGCCTGGCACCCACTTGACACACGTCACCCTGGTCTTGTCTATGGAGCACTGATGAGAGAAGAGAAAAAACATAAGTACATCCATGTCGAGGATGTCCTACAAAATACATTTGGGAAATATGTAGGGCTATATATGTCCCAATAAAAACTATGCACTGGATTTATATCAAGCAGACCAACTCACTGTTGGCATGCTCAAGAAGAGGATTCTCAATGTGAATGACTCAAAAAAGTTTTCTATACCTGCACAAATTTCTCACTTTGGCAGGAGCTGCTGGTACCTACACAGCACTTTGATTGTCAAAGTCTAGTGTGTTTAGGGGTCATTTGATCCTCACATGACCCACTGAGCACTCACGTCGTCATTGAAGGCACAGAGAGAGCGTCGAGTGATGGGATTCACGTGCTGCAGAGGTCCCGTGGAGAACCCAATGATGAGGTCCAGCCTCTCAGTGGAGCGAGTCATCAGGTTGAAATCATGGCAGACCGGAACGGTTGGGGCACGGTAGGTCCGCTTGTCTGCTGGCTTTGTCAGGTCAGGGAACTGCACAGGAGGATATATACGCATTGAGACAACTCCTCCGTTTCATATGCAGAGGATGTCCGTTTATATCGACAGACGAGACACGCCCACCGAGCCAACTTGGTGGGCATTATTTGGGAGTCGCAGTCCGCTAGCGTCACGACTGACCTTGCGCATGCCGTGGAACGGGTAAAAGTAGAACTCCTTCGCAGAGTTGAAAGTTATCCACTCCTTGGTGCCTTCTTTGTCCTTGCACGAAACGAAGGAGACGGTAACCGGACTCAGTTCCTTGCCCGAGTGAGCCTTTCTCGTCTCTCGACAGTACTGGAAAGATCCTTTCTTGTACGTTCCTTCCTTGGTACGGAAGGATGTGCTCTCGTGCGACATCGAGTGCGCTCTCTGAAGGGCCATCGTCGGGCTGACTGCTCTACCTCTCTCTCGGCTCCTCGGACGCCCCTCTAATCATTTCCGGCTATGTGTAGTTGGAATGCGGACGTCGCGAGAACAAATATGCGCATGCTCAAACTCGTTGTCATGCACGTGTACGTACGTGCGTTCTGGATTGTTCTGAGGCCGGACCATTCTCGAAGATTCTCCAAAGCGTGCATAAAAGCATTATCCGCGACTTGGCTCGCCCGAATTACCGCGCGGAGTTTAGCAGTCCAGGAGCGCAGTTTCTCTACGTCAAGTCATGGCAGATCCCGAAGTCCAGCAAGAAGCTAACATGGAGGAGGAAGAAGCCGAGACCTTTGCCTTTCAGGCAGAGATCGCGCAGCTGATGAGCCTCATCATCAACACGTTCTACTCCAACAAGGAGATCTTCCTCAGAGAACTTATCTCCAACTGTTCAGACGTACGTAAGCCGTTGCGTTGATTGTGCGCAAAATGCCTCCGCGTTTGTCGTTCGCACTGATCGTAAACTCTACGCGGGCATCTCAGTGGTACAAACTGCCGCCGCTGAGCTCTGCCCAAGTGGTTTGGAGCCTGAAGCTGCCCCCGCGGCAGCTCCACATCGGGTATATTCCGTCCACAGCGTAGAAGAGAAACTCCGGCCCTCTCGGTCTCCCACGTGACCCCTTCCCTTTGTTCCCTAGCGGTACGGTAGGGTGAGGTAGGCGCGTTGGGCGAGAGTGGCCGGTCCACTGCATATTCCTTGTGCTTCCCATAGCCACTAGTGGGCAGTGACTGGGGAGATAAACCATGCAGGGGACATGTTCATGTATGTAGCACTGTACATAACCAGTGATATTTCAGGCTCCTTTGGTAAGAACATCCGCAACGATGTTAGACGTATTTTGTGAGTGAGAAGTGTGGTGTTATCCTCCACCCCTAGGCTCTGGACAAGATCCGGTACCAGAGTCTGACCGATCCGACAGTCCTGGAGGCGGAGAAGGAGATGAAGATCACCATTATCCCCAACAAGGACGACAACACACTCACCATCTGTGACACTGGCATCGGGATGACCAAGGCTGACCTGGTCAACAACCTGGGTACCATCGCCAAGTCGGGCACACGGCAGTTCATGGAGGCCCTGCAGGTGAGTTTCTACCACATTTTGAGCCTCTTGTGAAAAATTAGTGCTCCTTCCTTTCCCCGTGTTTCTGAAAGTTGGTTTGAGCTCTTCTTGGTGGAAAAAGAACCTGCCCCTTCTTTCACCTCAGAATGTTTCCTTGGGTGTGTGAATGCCTTTGCTGGCCGGTTTCAGTCTCCCATGGATGTGTGTAGGGTTAGTGTGGGAGAGGCTGGAGTAACTCTCCCCATATTCATGGAGGATGTGGTGGAAGAGCCTTCTGGAACATTCCCAGTGTGTACACTAGTCACCCTCAAAAAGGGATTCCACTGGAGTGAGGTCACCCATGTGGCAATTTGTGCCAGCATTCACTTTCTTTGTGTTCAAGTTTCCCCCATGTCAGAATCAGACTCAGATATGACTGCAGCAATGTATGGAGGACAAGCCAGTCATTTATCATTTACACACAGTACATACCGCCACTATTTAGTGCCCCTCCCACCACTCTCTTCCCTACCCCTCTTCCCCTCCCCCTCCTCTCTCCAGGCAGGAGCAGACATCTCTATGATTGGACAGTTTGGAGTGGGGTTCTACTCCTGTTACCTGGTTTCTGACCGTGTCCAGGTCATCACCAAACACAACGATGACGAGCAGTACACCTGGGAGTCTTCTGCCGGCGGGTCGTTCACCGTCAAACGAGACGAAACGGAGGGGCTCGGTCGCGGGACGAGGATCATCCTCTACATGAAGGAGGACCAGATGGAGTACCTAGAGGAGAGGAGGGTCAAAGAGGTGGTCAAGAAACACTCGCAGTTCATCGGCTACCCCATCCAACTTCAGGTGAGCTAAGGCTCAGTTTATACGATACAGGGATACACCAGCCTCGTGAGAGAAACTTGTGTTGGTGTGTAAGTCGATAAAACATGAAAGCAGGGCCAAAAAGTGTGGTGGTGTTCATGTGTGACCGTTAACAATAGTCTAGTACACAGGTTCATATTCAGCCTGAAGTAAACCGTTGCTTTCTGTATGTGGTTCTATGCAGGTGACAAAGGAGAGGGAAAAGGAGATTTCTGACGATGAGGCAGAGGATGAGGAGAAAGAGGAAAAGAAAGACCAAGATGCCGAGGATAAGGAAGTGAGCCAATTAGCACTTCTCATATCCCACACAAACACCCACACATGTCACACACCACCCTTGACTTTTACTGGTATACTACTTGCGTCACTGGTATAATATAGGATGAAGCCAAGCTTGAGGATGTGAGTGACGACGAAGAGAAAGACGACAAGGAGACGGACAAGAAGAAGAAGAAGAAGATCAAGGAGAAGTACAACGAACTGGAGGAGCTGAACAAGATGAAGCCCATCTGGACCCGAAATCCCGATGACATCACCCAGGAAGAGTACGGGGAGTTCTACAAGTCGCTCACCAACGACTGGGAGGACCACCTCGCCGTGAAGCACTTCTCCGTCGAGGGCCAGCTCGAGTTCCGCGCGCTCCTCTTTGTCCCGAAGCGAGCCCCGTTCGACCTGTTTGAGAACCGGAAGGTCAAGAACAACATCAAGCTGTACGTGAGGCGCGTGTTCATCATGGAGAACTGCGAGGATCTCATTCCCGAGTACCTCAACTTTGTGAAGGGAGTCGTGGACTCCGAGGATCTCCCGCTCAACATCTCTCGCGAGGTTCTCCAGCAGAGCAAGATCCTCAAGGTCATCCGCAAGAACATTGTCAAGAAGTGCCTCGAGCTGTTCAACGGGATCGCGGAGGACGCAGAGGACTACAAGAAGTTCTACGAGCAGTTCAGCAAGAACCTGAAGCTGGGGATCCACGAGGACAGCCAGCACCGCAAGAAGCTGGCCGACCTCCTCCGCTACCATACATCAGCCAGCGGTGACGAGAGGGTCTCACTCAAAGATTACGTCGGTCGGATGAAGGTAAGCCTACTAGTTCATTCTGACAAGTGGTTTTAAAGTTTTTGCAGCTGAAAACACTTGCATATGGGTATACTGTTTTGCATTAGTACTCCTTGTGTTTTCCGGTTTTCATCTTCTTTTTCCATCTCCCACCTTTTTTCCCTGAAGGAAAACCAAAAATGCATCTACTACATCACGGGCGAGAACCGCGACCAGGTCTCAAACTCTGCCTTCGTGGAGCGGCTCCGGAAGCGAGGCTACGAGGTGATCTACATGGTGGAGCCCATCGACGAGTATGGTGTACAGCAGCTGAAGGAGTACGACGGGAAGACGCTCACCAGCGTCACGAAGGAGGGTCTCGAGCTGCCCGAGGAGGAAGAGGAGAAGAAGAAATTCGAGGAGCTCAAGGCGAAGTTCGAACCGCTCTGCAAGGTGACAAAGGACATCCTCGACAAGAAGGTCGAAAAAGTGGTCGTAACGCAGAGACTGGTATCGTCGCCGTGCTGTATCGTGACCAGCCAGTACGGCTGGACTGCCAACATGGAGCGGATCATGAAGGCCCAGGCGCTGCGGGACACGAGCACCATGGGCTACATGGCCGCCAAGAAACACTTTGAGCTCAACCCGGAGCACCCCATCGTGGAGACGCTGAGGCAGAAGGTGGAGAATGACAAGAACGACAAGTCGGTGAAGGACCTCGTCATGTTGCTGTTCGAGACCTCGCTCATGGCGTCTGGGTTCTCGCTGGACGAACCGCAGACCCACGCCAATCGCATCCACCGGATGATCAAGTTGGGGCTGGGCATTGACATTGACGCTGCAGATACCGAGGCAGAAGGTGGGTGTAGTAACCTATTGCACTTTATTTTCATGCTCTAATTCACTGTACTCACCTGCTAGTAGATCAACTGAATGTATAGAAGTATGTCTCTTTCTCACTCCGCAGAGACCACTGCCCAAGAGGAGATGCCTCCACTAGAGGGAGAGGGCGAGGGAGAAGACGACGATGTGAGAATGGAGGAGGTCGACTGAGGGAAGAACTGGCTATTGACAACATGCTGACTAGAGACCAATAAATTCGATCATAATCCACAGTTTTATGTTGTGTACCCAGCCTTTTATGTCTATGTGTATATTTGCCCAATTGTATGCTGCATAATATAATCAGTGATAGATCGAAGGTGGGCTCTGTTTAGAATGGGAGATAGGCTTAGTTCAGTATGGTGGGTGATCAGAAGTGATTGTTCTGTAGGTGTTAAGAGGTTAACTCTTCTTGTTGGAGGTTGGTGGTGATGACAGCTGCCAAGGTCTGCAGTCTGATGAGAGCAAGGCTCATCTCTTCCTCAGTGCTACTGGGAGGAGGGTGTGTGGCTTCAACACATACACCTGAGTCAATGCTGGAGTGAAGTACACATAGCCAATCACGGGCAAATTTAAATAGCAGGCACAAAATGTACCTCCATCTCATACAAGCAAGTACATAAAGAATACAACCTCTTTAAAAGACAAAGCAACAGGAGCTAACCTTGTTTCTATACTCTGCCCATGTTCATCTTCATCTTCGTTTAGTACTTCTCTAGAGCACAAAAGGAACATTATTGGGTTGTTGCACGTTATTATGTGAAGCTTACGATGGACGGTGTTGGTTCTCTTCCTACAACAAGAGAAACAGTGAGTGAAAATGCCTGGTTGTTCAGTGCTATTAGCTGACCTTTATCTGGCAGTATTGGTGGCAGGTGCAGTGAGGATGATGATTACATTGGAGGCTGCGCTGCGACGCAAACTGCTCCCTCATCACCTCCTGTAGAGATGCTCTGAAGTGTTCTATCTCCACATTCACCCTCTGACGGAGACCGTCTTCCAATCCTACAGTAAAATTGTACTGGTCACCAATGGGGGACAGAACATAGTGTCCATATTAGTGGGGAAATACAATGTGTCCGTATTAGAGGGGTGTCCTCATTAATAGGGGGCTACTCTGTAATCATCACGAACATCTTCGTGATGATTTAGAGCTATGGTGTATATACCAAAGAGAGGGCTGTAAGGAACAGTTGGAATAGGTGGCAAGTTAGGTGGAGATTCAGAGATGGAGGAGGGCTCGGCTGAATGGAGTTTCTGTGGTGGTGGGTCCCAGTGGGCCAGGGAACTGGGAGGGGGGAGGGGAGGAGGAAGGCCAGGCATAGAACATGGAGGAAGAACGAGGGAGGGTGGGCCATAGAAATCCAGGTCTTCGTCATCCGGCACGAATCTCCCTGCTTCTTGGGAGTGTCCATCTTCCTCTGGCCTGTGGTCTATGGACCCACAGCCACTATCAAGAGACAACCTTACACACAGTGTAGTTTGAGGAGATTCCGTATGCTTACCTACTGGTGTTGTGAGGTTGGTTGAATTGTGCCAGCCGAGGAGCTGGCCTGTGGATCTCCTGGTGGTATGTGACCTGCAGGGAGGAGATGCACCTCTTTCTGCCGCCAGAATACTGGACAGCAGCTGCTGGGGAGTGCATTCTCCCTCCACACCTCCGCCTTACGTCACGTAACTCCGTATTCCGATTGTTTATCCGTAATTTGTGCTTACTCAGCGTTTGCTTCGGAAAACAACTGCGAAGGTTGAAGATCCTCGCTCATCGCCTGTAGCCTGTCATGGCTGATAGGTGTGCAGGATGCACGAACAAGTTCAAGTTTCGCGAGAAGCCGGCCGTTTGCGCTAAGTGCGGCCGCAACTTCTGCACGTTGTGCATCCCCAAGAGCAAGCACAAGAAGAATGCTCAAGCTGTCAGAGAGACGTGCATCTACTGCACACGTAAGGTGCAGGAGGCGATGAGGCAGCAAGAGGCCGGAGTCATGGAAAACTTCCCGGACAGGTTCTACCACTCGCCCCACGTCCAGGCACCCGTAGTCACCAAACTTCGACTCAACGAAGAGAAGTTGCCATCGGCAGGGGGCCTGGGCGGTGGTGTCGGGGGCCCTCACTCGGGACCTGTCCTGACGGAGGAGGACAGGAAGCTGGAGGAGAGACTGCGGAGACTGAAGGAGTCCCACAGACCCACAAAGACTGGAGACTCTGAAGCAGCCCTCCAGGAGAGACTGGCAAAACTTCGAGATGAGGGGAAGAGCCAGGGACCCCCCTCATCAACTGGTAATCAATCTAGCGGTCCAAAAACCGAGTCAGAACAAGCAGACAATCTTGTAGATGAGGTGTCAGACAGGGTTGGGCTGGACAGGAAAGTGGACCCCAACAACTATCCTATGGAGGACAGCATTACTACACTATTGGGTGGGATGGACATACAAGTAGAGGATGCTGATCCAAACAAGTTGTTTGAAGAGTTCAGAGCCTTTCAGTCGCGACAGGAGCAGTCGGCAATGGCCGACGCCACTTCAAAAGACGTCCAGGATATTGTCGTAAAGGCCAAGGAACTTCAACGAGACGAACAAGAGGAAACGGGAGAGAAAAGTACAGCTGCTGGTGAAGGATTTATTACTCCCTACCCACAGCTCCCACCGGTGATTACTGTGGAGTCCCACGGTGAGCAGAAGGAGAAGGAAATCAGTGTGTCCGAGATCACCCAAGTACTGGCAGCGGCGCAGAGAGAAATGGAGCAAGATGAGAACAAGCAAAAGGAGATAGATCAGTTTGTGTCGGCAGCCTCGAAACAGCTGGCCGAGCTACGTAGCACTGAGAAGACCGAGGGTGATTCTGAGGTGCGCAGCAAGCCGGAACCGGCACGACACGGACGTCACGCTCACCTGGACTTTTCCTGGGGCCATTTTGGCAGTGGAGGGGCCCATCTTGAGGGGTCCACAGAGAGTGGAGTGGGTGGGGATACGGCAGCTCGTCAGCTGGGTATCACCCTCAGTAGCGAGGTCATCCTGGACGAAACGACAGGGACCGACTCGGGGGACGAGGTGAGTGGGCTCCTCAAGCAGACCTTGGCCGAGGCGGCTCTCGATCGCAGGCTGGAGGAGAAAGGTCTCGATCGCTACTTGAAACCCAGCAGTGGAGCTGAGTCAAGGAACAGTAAAGGAGGAGCTGTAGCTGGAGGCTCGGGTGAAGATGCGTGTGCTGCCACCAACTATCGCTCGGGGTGGGGAGGAGTTGACCCCGATGACCTTCCGTGGTGCTGCATCTGCAATGCCGACGCTCACATTCGCTGCTACGACTGCGACAACGACTTGTACTGCACGCAGTGTTTTTCAGAGGGACACGAACAGTTTGGACTGTTTGACCATAAGTATGCTCCTTTTGAACCGCTGACTAGTAGGGCTGTTTGAGAACACAACGACATTGCCAAAATGTTTACGCATGCGCTAATTTCATTCCACGTGCGGTTGTATTCTGACAGGTGGCAAAAATGTCGTCGTTCACTTTGAAGCTGTCGCTTTTTATCCTCGCGGCTGTAGCTGTCCAGTGTAACCAGGACGGTGGCTCTTATCTTCACGACTCCAGTCGCGTCCATGACGCCGAGTAAGTGCGCGAGAGAAACCAGCTTAGTGGGCATTATTTAGAGTAAACCGAGCATTTGACACATTTGCGACGAAGGAAGCGTCCTGATAAGTGAAGCATGCTATTATGTGGTATCCATTGTCGAGACAACCCTACCCACTCTGTAATGTATTCCTGCAGGCACATCCGTGAGCACATGAAGGACTACATGGACCAGCCGGATGAGCTGAAGTTGGACGACCAGGAGGCCATGGAGTTCCACTACTTCAAGCTCCACGACTATGACAACAACAACAAGCTGGACGGGCTGGAGCTGGGGGCTGCCATGACGCACTATGAGGACCACAGGGAGGGAGCGGAACATGGGAAGACACAAGTGAGTTCCATTGATTTTCAGTGCAATGGTGAAACCCTCACTATCTGTGTAGTTTGATCACTTTCATGTAGGCATTGTTGTGTAGACTGTAATATTCACCATCAAGTATGGTGTGTGACACTGCCTCCAACCTTTGCACGCAGAGTATTGAACTCACCGATGATGAGCTGAAGAACCTGATTGACTCCATTCTCAAAGACGATGATCTCAACAATGACGGCTACATCGACTACTATGAGTTCACTCAGGCCCAACGGAGGCACCAGGGAGACAACAACTCCGTCTAATGAACCCCAGACCCCTCCATTACTATAGCAATCAAGACCATTCTTCTCATGTTAAGATGCTAGTTTTCTGCTTTTCATCTTGTAATCACAATATCAAGTTAAAACGTCTATATACCATAATCACAAAACCCGGTATAAAATGTGCACATAAAATGATAAACGTAAACTCTGCATGCCTACATGGTATAAATAGCTATCGAGGCTACAACACTAGTGACTCTGAGTTGTGTTCTGTTCTCGGCTGGCTCTCCTCCGCTAGTACTCCTGGAGACGAGGCGAGTGTTGAAGCAGCGCACAACTTGAAATCGATGACGAGTTGCGACAGGAGACGCGGTGAGAGTGTCACAACCAACTCGGACAACCTCTGCTCAAGAACTTTGACCTGGCACCCCGGGACACGGTAGACATCGATCACGTCTCCCAGTCGATGGTACTCGGAGTAGTTGAGGCAGACTACAAGTTTTCTAATGTCTACCGATGTCTCCCCAGTCCGGGCAGTGTAGGAGGCCAAGTCTATGGGGTATGCCTCACAGGCACAGGCAGGAGATGCGTCACTTCCACCGCTGTCGCCCTCCTGTACTGAGTTAGAGTCTTGCTTCTGTGGTCCCTCCGGTGGTTTAGTCTTCACTTCTTCCCCGTCTGTTGTGTCCATGCTATCCTTGGTTTTTCCGTCGCTGTGACTGTTGCACGAAGAACTGCTAGCATTGGAGTTACCCTCAAAACCAGCCAGCCCCAGCTCGTTACCTCCATTGCATCCAGCTCTCTCCCCCTCCCTCTTGTCTCTCTCCGCCTCTTTCTTCCTCTGGATGTAGGCTTCTTGGCTTCTCTTTACTCCCTCCTCTCCCTCCACCCACTCCCCTGCAATGGTTGGGCAGTAAAAGTGCCCCGGTCCATAGTTTGACTTGTACGCCAGCTTCTTGTTGAGGCTGTTCCATCCCTGAAGGTAGTAGTTGTGCATCTCTGGATTTCGCTCGTGGTACTTGCACACAAACTCTATCTCCTTTAGAGCAGAGTACACGCCAAACGAGTACTTTGAAACTGCCTTGGAGATGTCGTACCACATGTAAATGCTCACGATCCCCTTGGGCACCACGTCAATGATCCCGATTGCGACCAGCTTCCCATCGAGGCGGTAGAGCTGGTGAAACGTGCCGTATTCAACTCCGTCTACTGTCTGATGCTGGACGGGAGAATTGACTACGTGCTCTGCATAGGAGAACATTGATTTGAGCGGTTTCTCGTGTTTCTCGATGTGGTAGGTGTTGTACAGGTCAAAGGCGTCGCGGTTGAAATGCGTAGGCAGAGTTTCGATTGTGAGTCGGTCCTTGGGCATGCGTTTCAGGACACGAGTGTAGCTCTTGTGCGAGCGTCGGTCGAACTGGAGTACATTCACCCGCGTTTCCCAGTCCACATGGTGCACGTTGTGGTTGCAGCGCAGGCGAAACAGCTTCACTCCTCCTCTCCGGTACCAGCCAGCGTCAATGAGGTCCTGGTACTGATGCGGCGTGAGGCTATGCGGACGGACGACCAACTCTTCAGAGACGCTCTCGCGGTCGCAGTTGCTGCAGAACCCGTGCGTGCTCCCGTAGACGCGACCAACGCGGAACAGCGGCTGGTCGGGGTCGAGTCCAAGATCTCGCAGTTGCTGCCTGGCAGCTGCGCTGAGGTCGGGGGCCACCGGGTGCTGCGGAGTCATAAATTCTTCTTCTAGTGGGAGGAGCACCATTTGTTCTCCGCCGGTGTTGGTGTCCATGGCCTCAGACTGCATCAGATGGTGTGGCCAGTCAACTTTGAGAGCCGTAGAGGGAGACAGGGGAGGGATAGAGGTGGGGGGGACTAACGACAGTGCCATTATAGTGTAGAGATACTGTTTTTCGAGAACATGGTTGCACCACCGGACAAGGTCAGGTGCCTGCACACTGTACTCCTTCTTCTCCATGGCTTGTTCCAGACACAGCTCCACTTCCAGCTCTCTCAACTGGACGGCTCCCTCGTCCAGCTCCCCAGCTCCCAGGAAGACGAGGATGGTATAGCTGATGACCTTCCCGTTCCTCGAGCCGCGGACAACGTCGGAGATCTGTCTAATCACCGCGGGTGTCAGAACGTAGCGTCGGTTGATGACGGCCATGAACCCAAGGGAACTGAGGAGTCCCAGGGATCGCCACGTGACCTCGGCCTGTAGCTTGAAGTCCTCCACCCGGATCTTCATGAGACGGAGAAGGATAGGGACACAGCCGCGCTCCACCAGTCTCCTCTTGGCCTGGTCCCCCGACGAGAGGATGTGGAGGACGCGACAACATGCCGATATGAGGTAGCCATCTTCCTTCTCGTCCTGCAGTGTGTGTAGGAGCGTCTCGTGGAAGTCCTTCTCCTGAAGTTCCTGTTTGATTGCCTGACCTCCGAGGGAGATGTTCCCCACTGCATGGACGACACTCCTACTAACAACAGGGGCATACCCATCGCTCAGAACCCCGAGGAGCTTGTCCATGTAGCCTCGTTTGTGCAGCTGGAGTGACAGCTCTTTGTCGGCAGTGAGGCTCAGGAGAATCCGTCCAAAGTCGTCACCAAACTGGGGCGTCTGCTGCGGACGGTACTGTGAACACTTCTCCACGATGAGCTCGGGGAGCTGGGTATCCAGGAGCATGCTCACGCTCTTGAAAGTGGGTGTGGTAGCGGTTGAGGAGCGAGGCTAGGAGACCGATGGAGGTGGCCACAATATCGTACGAGTCAGAGCACTGGATGAGGTCGACGACAAACGTGTGGAAACAGAGGTCGCGAAGGTGCTCGAAGCACTCCTTGTGCCTCATCTGCACGACAAAGTAGTGCAAGGTGAAGATGACTCTACTGGCGAGCTGTGGGAAGGAGAAAGTGTCGCGGGCAAAGAGCATGATGAGTGCCTCAACAAACTCTTTCTGCCCCATGCGCTGGAGGGCAGCGAGTGGGCTGGAGCGCAGCAGCTTCTGTACGAGGATGTAGACCATCTCTGCCAGCGTCACGTTCCGCGAGACTGTCTCGTTACAGAGCATGTCCTTGGCAAAGACGTGATGGTCGCCATCAAAGAATTCTGCCCTCTTTAAGGCTGCCTCTATTGTCAATGTGCCCGGAGCTGCCGGAGCACAGAATCCCTCAATGCCCAAACACGCCTGCAGGAGGCACGTCTCGGGCCACTTCCTCGCGCAGGCTTCGATCCTGGACACCACAGCCAGGTCCACCAGCATCCCAACGTGCCTCGGTTGTGCCTTTGAGCACAGATAGGCCAGGAAGTCGCATGTGCGTGCCACGTTCTCTATCGAGTGCTCAGTTGTCTCTGGATCTATAACGGCCAGGAGTGTTCGGAAGAGATCCCTGCTCTCGAGGAGTTGGATGAGGGAGGCGTTGGGCGCCTGGTGGCAGCAGAGAGTTAGGAACTTGACCAGGGGGAAGAGAGAGAACCCTTTTTTCTGCATGATAGATGTGATGACAAACAGAACTCCGCTGGCAGTTAGCTCCTTGACAAACGCAGCATCTCTCTTGACGACAAGGGAGAGAAGTCTCCAGATGAGCTCCTGGAGGATCTCGTGTGAGGCGTGCTGCTGTGCCGCAAACAGGAGAGCCACGTGGAGATTATCCCCGACAAAGACGGAGACGTCGAGGTTGACTTCGACCAGCATCCCCACACCGACAACCACTTGCTGGAGTACGGCGGGGCTAATCTCCTCGTGGTAGGAGAGCAACTGACAAAGTCGTCGACTGGCCCCGCCTTTCTCCAGCTGCCCCAGCTGCGAGTCGTCCAGCAGACGCATCAGGTGACTCACAAAGTCCTGCCCGAACTGGAGTGCGGCTGCTTTCTCTCCGTGCCGGTCGATATCCAGTGCAGCTGACACGAGGGTGGAGAGGTGGTCCATGTCACACTCACGGGGGAGTTTCTTTGGGTAGTGGTTCCAGAGGAGGATGAGCAGGTTGAGGGTGTAGTCCACGACAAACATGCTCCCACGACCGAGATCCATCTGCGCTACAGCCGACAGGAGGTTTCTCTGGAGTTTTGAGAGTGCGTCGTTTGCCTCGCGAGGGAGGGCGTCCTTCACGGCCATCACAGACTTGTAAGAGACGTGGAATGTCCGTTGGTGGGTGGGGTATCTGGACAGAAGACCACCCACAGCCTCCAGCACTCTACAGAAAAATAGGTGTTGTAGCCGTGAGTAAGGCATACATATATGTCACACAACAGACAATGGCGAAAGATATTGGTGTTGGAAGGACAAAAATTTAACAAAAAACACTGAATGACAGCTCACTGGTCTATGTACTGTATCTCTAACTCCAGTGAAGAAATAAAGCTTAGTTTACTGACAGTAAAACACTGAATGGCGGCTCACTGGTCTATCTCCGATTCCAGGGAAGAGGTATTGCCATCTGCAGCAGCGGCAGTGTCGATAGCTGGAAGTCTGGAGAGAATAGAGGAGATATGGGCCACGTCGGATTCTGTCGGGCCACCTCCCGGAGGAGACTCCTCGCTCCTCTCTCTCCCTCCTCCCTCTTCCCCACCAGTTCCCTCGGCACACCCTCCTCCCCCCACCACCCTCCCATCTCCACCATCACTGCTGGCACCCTGGGTGATCCCGGGTCCCACCCTAGAGTCCCCTGTCCCGGTAACAAGAGGCAACTCCCTGGAATCTTGTGAGGTTTGTGTTTGTCCTCCACTTGAATCCATATCCTGAGAGAATGCGACAGAGCCGCAAAAACGTATACACACCCTTTTATTTTGTAAGTCATCTCATAGTATAGATTACAAGGTTCCTTATAATTATTAGACCTGAAATTTGTATGGGGCATGAACTGACCTTTACACAGGACGACCGGCTCTGGCCCATGACTCAGGGAGAAGATAACGCCACTCACACACTCCACCTGGTAAAAGATAAAGTCTCTCTTGAAGTTCGACAAAATCTTGCAGAGACGTGATGTGAGGAACTCGACTTACGCCCAGGCCTGCAGAGAACTAGAGAAGCAGAGCCAAAGGCGACAGACACGACTGGATTCACTAGGACCCTCTCTCCGTCTCCCCAAAGACGTCCAGCTGAAAGCACAGAGCCGAAGCTGAGCGCTCTCGGTGCTCGATCTAGTGTTGGCTCTTAGATCATGTGACTAATGCGTGATTTTCCACCTCGCTCACGTGCGACGGTCAAAGGTCAAAAGCCGTTGGGGTTTTGGTGTGTGAAATTTTTGGTTCTCTTCTCACTTCTTCTCTTGTCGCCGGTATCCTCGAAGCGAATTTTCCCTCCGTCCAAAATGTCTTTGACCAAGTAAGTGTGTGAACTAGAGTACATTAGTGCTGCTTCACTTCACACAACTAACGCCTTTCTGGTGTTTCATTTTACTTTTCCGTTGAAACAGACTGCTACCTAGACCTGCGCATGTCACTGTGGATCCCGACGAGCCGTCGGTGGACGCCGCTTATGCACAGGTTAGAACGGGGTGTGCACTAATTAGAACTATTTCCGGAATATTACACGTTCTTCTCCCTCTATCTCAGTTGACTCGGCCGACGGTGAAGAAGGAGCCTCCTCCCTATGGCCACAGGAAGAACTGGGTTCCGCGGTCGCTGGCCGACTTTGGAGATGGGGGCGCCTTCCCGGAGGTCCATGTGGCTCAGTACCCCATGAACATGGCCAACAAGAGCAAGCCAGTCAGTGGTTACTACTGCTCACACTCCAGCTAAAACTGCACACAGACGTAGAGTAGATTTCGCACACACTGTACAGCGGATGGTAATGTAATAGTCAGTGGCCTAATGCTAACTTAAACTGCACACGTAATCATCGTCCCCACGTATGTGTATTATACTTGTTTCCCCATGTTTTAACAAAGCCTTCATGGTTATATATGACTTCTGATTGTATGTGTATGTGTGTAGGGCTCGTCTTCGGCAGTGGTTCCTCTGCAACTGGATGCCTCAGGGAAGGTCAAGTACGACGTGCTGGCCAGGATGGGACAGAGGAAAGACAAGGTCAAACCACTCAACACATCTTCACATTTGTATACACCTTGCTACACCTTTTATGGGTGCAATATTAGTAATTAGGTAAAGGGATAGTTGCTACCTTTTAAGTGTGTGTGTGTTGTGTGTGTGTGTGCAGGTGGTCCACTCGTCACTGGAAGCCATGGTGTCTCGAGGGGTGCGACCCAGTGACCCGGAGCTGGTTCGGCCCGAGGAGGAGGAGGTGGAGAAAGTCACGGAGGAGACGCGACTGGCGCTGGAGAAACTGACCAACAAGAAGATCTCGGCTGCCATGCCTGTCAGAGCTGCTGATAAACAGGCTCCTGCTCAATACATCAGGTGTGCACACGTAACTGTCCTGGAAGTATACATATACAGTGCAGGGAATAAAGCATTTAGTAGAATGGAGTATTTCCGAAACGCATGCACAATGCACACACTCTTATAATCTTACACTGTGCGCATAAAAATATGAGTATGCACTGACACAGGAAGGCATGCTGTAGAGAGAGCCCTGTGAAGGTTATTCTGCCTACCTAGAGATTCTCAACACACCCACCCATGGTACTCGTGGAGAGCTCCTTTAGTCAACACACACACACAGTGGTCCATTCACTGTTCTGCAGGTACACACCGGCCCAGCAGGGAGTGGCGTACAACTCGGGTGCCAAGCAGAGGATAATCAGGATGGTAGAGGCCCAGAAAGACCCGATGGAGCCACCGAGGTTCAAGGTGAACCAGAAGATACCTCGGGGCCCGCCCTCCCCTCCAGCTCCCGTCCTCCACTCTCCGACCCGCAAGGTCAGCCCACCCACCACTGCCACTGCATGGTACACACTGTGCGTAGTTCACTGTCTCATTGACGGAACCTTGTTCCGAGTTCATTTTTACTTACCTTACAGACTGATGCCTACTTACCTTATGGACTGATATGACATGTATGTACACACAGGTGACAGTCAAGGAACAGCAGGAGTGGAAGATTCCTCCGTGCATCTCCAACTGGAAGAATCCTAGGGTATGTGTGCAGACCATAATGTTTTGTGAGCACCTAACAAACTGTTTTTATTAACCATGTTATGTAACAGTGTAATTTTGTCCACAAAGAGTTTGTCTAATCTCCCCCTTCCTGTCCCTCGTTTATAGGGTTTCACGATTCCGCTGGACAAGAGGCTGGCTGCGGACGGACGTGGGCTCCAAGACCACACCATCAACGACAACTTTGCCAAACTGGCACAGGCCCTGTACACCGCCGACAGAGAGGTCAGCACCCCACTTTTAGTACCACGAAACCTCATTGTTACAAAGGAATCGGAAAAATATTATCTCTTAAATCCTATAAGTATAAGTCGTGGAGGTGGGAAATGTGCCCATTTTACTTAATCTTGTGAAAATAAGCACATAGCGTAACAGGAAATGTATAATTGCTATATACATACTGCTGTTTGTTTGTAGGCCCGTAAAGCTATTTCTCTGAGGTCGACGATGGAGAAGAAGGTGGCACAGAAGGAGAGAGAGGGTAAAGAGGATAGACTGCGGGATCTAGCCAAGGTGGCCCGCGACAAGAGGATTGGGATACACGGACCGTCGGGTGCGGGCGGAGAGGGGGAGGAGGGGGAGGAAGAGGAGGGTGTGGCTGAAGAAGCGAGGGGGCGAGATGTTCTGAGACACGAGAGGCACAGGGAGAGGGAGAGGGAGAGGAGACTGGCCAGAGCTCACCCTGACAAGAGGTCAGCTGTGTATATAAGCTAGTGTTAAACAGTTTATGCTGTGCATGTGTATATAAACTGCCATACCTATGGCAGTGAGACTTCTTTTGCGAGAG